TTTATATCCTTTTCCCAATCTTTCATCAAATGGCATTAGCTCCATTGATGAGTCTCACTTAAGGTAGCAAATTGATAATTTTAAAATTAATCATTCTTCTTACATTTACTAATTCCTCTGTAAATAAGAGCCTTCCCTAGTCAAGGGCGGATGCTTTATGTATTTTTACAGTTCATGTCAGTACAACATGTTTGGTATCAATTATCTAAAATATCATTAGGTTATGCAACTGAGTCATAGATAAACATAACTTAGATTTTGTGTAAATGCTCATTAAAGCATGTTAATGTACATTAAAATTGGCAGTGGAGAATGGATGAAATTTAAAGCAGTGTTTCAAAGTGGTGAGCAAATATAATAAACTTGGTGAAAGAGATTTCAGCAAGTCACTGGCACTAATAGCATTTATAGATCTAAAAGAAGTTACTAGTGGTAAACCACCTCTTTAAAAGAGCTTGCCATGTGTTTGTATCCTAAAAAGCTAATAACAGAGTCAATGTGGAAAAATATTTAGACTGGACAAGAAAGAAATGAATACAAATAGTTTAGAGTGTCACCTTCTTGCTTTGGTCGTCTTTCAACTGCATATTCCAACATTTAAGGCCTGTGGAGTTTTTTACTCAGTTTCTTGTCTACCTCACTCCTCGTTCCTCCTTCATGTGCTTTGGCTAATGCACCTCCTCAGGTGCACGTGATCATCCCTGACTTTGCATCTTTGCCCATGCTGTTCCCCTCCCTCATGCATTCTCTTCTCTCTTTGCTTGAGTTCTAACCTGTCCACTTTTCTATCCTGGGTTCCAACCCCACTCCCTCTCCCTCCCTGACATCTCCAGACAGCACTTCCTCCCTCTGTGACATCTGTAGTACTTGACTCGGTCTCCTGACTGGTCTTCTGATGTGCTTCTGAATGTCAGCTTCATCACCAAAAATCCTTAAGAACATGACCAAAAATTTCAAAGCTCTTTTCTCATGATATTGCTGAGCTTTTACATTCCCCTTTGAGAATCTTTATGAAAGTTACCAACATATATGAAACTGCTGTCAAACAGGGCTCTCTCCTTTGTTAGCTTTCACTTCTGATATCTATCACCCTAGAAAACCAGGTATTCTTGTGAAAGTCAAGGCTAGAATTTGGGTATTTTCTCACCATCAGCTCTTTGTAAGTCATTCTTTGTAAGGAAGTGGGGAGGAAGGTAAGCATAAACTAACTTGGCCTTTAAAATTACAACAAGAACAAAGTTTATTCTATCTGTGGGTTGAATCTTTATGTTAAATTTGAACACTGTTTTAAATGGAAGTAAAACAATGATATTTGTGCTGCTTAAAGATTTTGATCTCATAAAATAAGATGTTGTTTAAAATCGTTCTAAATACCTTTTCTCTCTGTCTTCTCAGTAGGAACACTTCCTGTACATGCTGTTGGCCAATACTTAATCTTGCCAGACAGTGAGGATTTTTGTTGCCAGGCTGTGATACCATTTGATTTATGTTTTTGCAGAAGCAGGAGGTAAAAAGCTACGGAGCACTGTCCAGAGGAGTACAGAAACAGGTCTGGCGGTGGAGATGAGGAACTGGATGACCCGACAGGCAAGCCGGGAATCCACTGATGGCAGCATGAACAGCTATAGCTCAGAAGGAAAGTGAGTGAGGCCAGTCTCCTCTGTGCTGCCCAGAGACCATCTTCTCTGTCCCACCCTCTGCTTTCACTAAAGCAAACTCACACACTCTGCTGTTCCATTTTAATTTTCATTGGCTGATTTTCTGTGAATAGAATTTTGCTTACCAGCTACTGAGCAATGCAACATATCTGGCTTTTTATACCAAAGGAAATAGGTTCGGGGATAAAGTGTTTTGCTTTAATGACAAGATGCTAAAATGTGGCTCTCACATTGCATGCAAATAAAATATTTTGCCCTGGCTTGAAATAATATATAAAAGTACAAAAATAATAAGCATTCATGCCATGATATATGGACAGTGCTAATTTAAAAAAATCATAGCACTGAATTATTACCAAAAAATATGCACTCCTGATGTATACTTAGTTTGATGCAATAATGACTATATTTCATATAACTTAGCTATATAAAATTAAGTTGTATGACACTAAGTTATGTGAAATATAATAGCCAAAAAAAAATGGCACTGGAAAACTTGATGAGTCTTTTTTTAGTTTCCCTTTGAATTGGCTGTCTCAGAAATATTTTTAAAGCATTTGTAAAGATTGTATAGCCCTGTCACCAACAAATTAACAGTAATTAACAGCTACAGCTCTGTAAATGGGACTGTAAAGGACATTAATAGAGGAAAGTGGATTTACTGACCTCACTGTACCATCACCACAGATGCTTAGATGTTCCATGTTCACAGTTTTGAGGCCATAGGAGCTGCTGGCATAGTCTTACTGATGTCTCCTAGGGGTAATTTGTCTAGCATGATTACATAAATACAAGAGAGATGTATGGCTTACATAAAAATGTATTAATAGAGTTATATGAGATACTTATATTAACAGACTAAAACATTTGTATTAACTGAGGTGAAGAAAAAAGAAATATATTTGATGTCCATCCAAAAAAAAATCTTAAAAATAGAGAATCAAGTGAAAAACAGATGCTTACTGAGCACTAATATTTATAAAGCCCTGCATTATATAAGGGATATAAAATGTTTAAGCTGTGTTCCCTGCTCCTGATGTTTATAGTCTTATTGGAGAAATGGGATGAATACTTGTAAACTCATTCAACACATCTTGCCTTCTGTTCCTCTAGACACTGTGCTGCCAGCTGGGGGCATAAGTCATGTGTGAGAGTGAGTCAGTATCAGTGGTTAAGACCAGGGGCTTTGGCATCATATCAGATGGAGTTCTCATCTGGTGTTTTGGCACTACAGAACCTTGAGCAAGTTATTTAATTTTTCTAAGCTGTATTTTTACCAATTGAGCTTAGCAAGTATATTTTGAGTGCTTAAAATATTATAGGCATTGTTCCAGGAGGTAAGATACAACAGTGAACAAAACACACAAAAACCCCTACCCTCATCAAACTCAGTCTAATAGAGAGACATTAAGAAAAAATGTTAAAATTTATGTACAAGAAAAATGATAAAATGCATAGTAGATTAGGTAATGTAAGTGTTAAGGAGAAAAATAAAGCTAGAATGAGAAACGAGAAAGGGTCAAGGCAGGATTTTAGCAGGGTAGACAAGGAAAAGGACACATTGAGAGGAAGTTAGTGAGTAGGTGGATATTTGAGGGGAGAATCTTCAAGGTTGCAACAATGATGAGGCCCGGACTGGAGCTTGCCTGGCATCAGCAGAGAGGAGGGCAGTGCTGTAAGTGAGGACCAGATTGTAACAGATGAGGGATTAAGGTTGGGGGTGGGGTGAGGTTTAGACAGCTTGTATCATCTTTGTATAGTAAGGACTTTGTTTTTACCCTGACTCAGGTGAGAAATCATTGGAGCATTTTGAGCAGGGGACATTATCTGACTTCAGTTTGAGTACATTGGTCTGACGGCAGGGGCAGCAATAGAGAGCCCATTCAGAAGGCTCCTGCAGAAAACAGAAGAGAGATAATTGTGGCTTGGACCAGAATAGCAGTATCATTGAGTTCAGATTCTAGATTTGTTTTGACAGTGAACAAATAAGATTTATTGATGCATTTGATATGGATAATGAAATAGAGAATATTAGTTTTCTAGAGCTGCCATAACAAGATCAAGATCAAGGTGTCAACGGGTTTGGTTTCTCCTGAGGTCTTTCTTATTGGTTTTCAGCTGGCCACCTTGTATCTTCTCATGGCCTTTTCTCTCATACCCTAGTGTCTATTCCTTTTCTTCTAAGTCATATTGGATTAGGACCTTATCTTTATTACCTCACTTTATCTTATCTCTTTTAAAGACTCAATCTGCAGTCACATTGGTGACTCAATCCCATACAGAGAACAAGAAAAAAAGATGAGTGCATAGTTGAGCAATTGAAAGAATGAAGCTGCCATTTATTAAAATGGGAATCCTCTGCGAGGACTAGCCTTTAGTTTTTCTGTTTGTTTGAAGGGGCTTGGGGGTGTTAGTTTGGACAAATTCAGTCTCAAGTACGTATTAGATATCCCAGAAGATAGGTAATCTAAGCATCTGGGATACAGGTCTGTGTCTTAAGAGAGGTCCACAGTGGAGATGTCAGTGTAGGCAATAGCAGCATAGAGAGCATTTCAAACCATGAGACTGGGGGCTGGGGTTGTGCTTCAGGGGTAGAGTGCTTGCCTAGCACGTGTGAGGCACTGTGTTGGATCCTCAACACCACATAAAAATAAATAAATAAAATAAAGGCATTGTGTCTAACTACAACTAAAAAATATATATAACAATAATGAAATAAAATAAAACCATGAGACTGGATGAAGCCACCAAGGGAATTAAAACATATAGAAAACAGTGAAAGATTTGAGCTCTAGGGTTTGGTAACAGCAGTAGCAAAGGAGATTAAAGTAGAGTGACAGGTGAGAAAGAGGAAAACCAGGAGCCCTAGAGACTCAGGAAGCTAAGTAGAGATGGTGTTTCAAGGAAGGGGAATCAATTGTGTTCAGCTTGCTACTCTGTTAAATTAAAAGAGTCCTGAGTGTTAACAGCTGGAATTACCACTGCAGTGACTTTGATCCAGTTTTCGTGGAGTGATGAAAATGAACAACAGATAGAGTCTCAAAAGTGAATGAAAGAAAAGAAAGTGAAGACAGCACATAGTGACAACTTTGTCAAGGAGTTTCAATAAAGAAATGGGGTAATAGCAAAAGAACAAAATGGAGTCAGGGAAGATATTTTCTTTTCTTTTTGTAAAATGGAAAAAACAATACCATGTTGTTTTTCATGTTGATAGGAATGACCCGAAAGTGTTTCCTCATCTATAAACGGTGATAAGTAATATAATTCAGCTCAGCCAAGAAGATTAATATGGTAAAATCTGTAGTGGAATACGTGCTTGACGTGTACTGAGCATCTGTGACAGAAATCACAGCCCCAGCCCTCCAAACCAAGGGAGAGAAAGACACAGGAACAGGAACCTGCAATATAGGCAACAAGAGTTTCTGGTGGCACACGTGGGCATCTGGAGAATACAGAGCAAGAGCTATGGAGGTGGAGTAGCGTGTTGGGATATAATAAATATACACCGAAGTGATGTTGCCAAGTATCCCGCCATGTTGAGGGAGCTGGAGGGAGCTAGGACTTTTCTGAGAGCAAGTTGGGGTTGAGGAATTAATTCTGTTTGTTATTTTGCCTTCAGTCTGATTTTCCCTGGTGTCCGCTTGGCCTCCGATAGCCAGTTTAGCGATTTCCTTGATGGCCTTGGTCCTGCTCAGCTAGTGGGACGCCAGACTTTAGCTACTCCTGCAATGGGTAAGAATTTCTGCCTCATGATTCCATTGCTCTTCTTTTAGATTATTGAAAATTGCTTTCTCTCAATTTCATAGAATCTTTGACAGTATTATCAGCAGGAATAAAGTATCTTGTATTTTAACACAAAAAAGCTTTCTTTTTTTCTATTATAATTTCTTATGATTTTTAAAGGAAGACATTGATAAAATATTAAATGTTTTTAAATTTAAGAAAATATATGGGAAATGATGAAATGATGTTAAGCCAAGATCTTTGGCAAAGCATTTCTTTCCATGTTTGTACAGAAGGTGTGTCTATTTCTTTTCCATGCATTATTAGGTGATATTCAGATAGGAATGATGGACAAAAAGGGACAATTGGAGGTGGAAATCATTCGGGCCCGTGGCCTTGTTGTAAAACCAGGTTCCAAGACACTGCCAGGTAAAACCAGAAAAGATTCTTCTATTATTACCCATGATCCATTGTTTCTCAATGTAGAAGCTTTGTTTTTATTGCTAAAAACTTAGTTATTAGTTAATCAAAGATACTGATAGGTGAGTCAATTCTCTGGTTTGGGGCTATTGCAGTCTGTATGTACATTCTGAATGAGTGTTCAATAGGCTGATCTGATGAGATGATACAAGTTGTTAAATAAGTACATATATAACTAGAAACCACTGCAAAATGTAAACCACTACCCTTAAATAATTCATCTTGTCACAACTTGTATATATAAAGTTCGGATTTTTTGCTAGCTGGTGTTCCATGTTATTCTTTAGCTTAAATGGAGCTTCAAAATTCTCCTTCAGTATCCTTAGTGTTCTGGAATTAGAATAAAAATAGGTACAGGCCCCCATAGTAGCATCATCCTATGTATCCTGGATATTCTAAGGTATGACTTCCTGTTGTATATTAAGAAAGAGAGACACTGTTATAACTTTATGTCATATACTTCATACTGAAACGTCATAATTTAAGGTGTTTGAAACCATGGGAAATGGCTCAGTGACTCCACAAACATCATGCAGAGGTCATTCGATCAGAAGTATAAAACAATTGCTGAGGATTTGAAACTTGCATTCCAGCCTCAGCACCTTCACTGACTGATTTGTGTTTTGAATCTCTTAACTTCTCTATCCTTGCAGAAATTTTTAAATATAGTATATATTCCCTATGTACAACCTCATAATGGTGATTAAAATGATGGTGTTTGTAAAGGTCTTAGAGCTTGTCAACTCACTTTGCCATAAAAAATATCTTTTACATAAATGAGCATAATTTTATGAAGTGCTTGTCAGATAAATTTTAAGCCATAGAATTCACAATTAGCTGCCTCTTCCTAACTAATCTGAACACATCATCTCAAACCCCACCCATTCTATACCCTCACACACCCGCAAAAAAATAAATGCCTCTGGGCGAGAAGTGATTTGTGGAGGTAGATGAGTAAAACAAGAATTTTAAGCATCTTTAACTAAATTTAAGTATTGGTAAATTAAAGACTAAGACATCACTCTTGAATATTGATAGGAACTGGAAGCATCTCACCTTATTTAATGCCATGTTTAAATTTACATAGCTAGCTGATACCAAAATAATTTGAAGAAAAAGAAAAAAAAAATGCTCAGGCTGTGTCAACATCCCCTAACCTCTCTGAATGCCAGACAGTTATCGTTGTTTATCTAATGATTTTGGTCCAGGGTTGCAAGGCCAGTGGCTTTGGATCACTGCCAGCCTTTTCAGTTCTTGCAGGTGACACCTGTGTCAGGTATGCCACAGCCACAGTTCATGGCTCATCACCTCTATGTTTGCTTTCCCAGCACCCTACGTAAAGGTGTACCTATTAGATAACGGAGTCTGCATAGCCAAGAAGAAAACAAAAGTGGCAAGAAAAACGCTGGAGCCCCTTTACCAGCAGCTGTTATCTTTTGAAGAGAGTCCCCAAGGAAAAGTTTTACAGGTATTTACTAAGTCATTGATCCCTTAAATAAGAAAGCATTTCACAGAGTCAGACCTTTTATCCTATATCTTTTCTGTTCCCTCTTTTATGTTCCACACAGCTCAAATTGTTTGAAAATTTCAAAGCAGTGGCCCATGCCATAAAGCTATGCACGTTGATGTTCCCTTTGAAGTGAATCAGAAGCATGCAAAGCCCAGTCACCATCAGCCAGTCTCCCTGACTGCTTATGACCCTAACCCTCCAGCACAGTTTTCTTAATGGAACTTGTATCCTTGTAGTTAAAGACAACTATCCCATTAATCAAATACAAGGGTTTCATTTAATCTTTGATGTCAGAACATTAACTGAATGCATTTTAGTATTTTAATGTATTTTACAAGGTTTTGTTATGTACTTGATTACTCTGACATTACTTTTTATTTCGCCAACAGATCATTGTCTGGGGAGATTATGGCCGCATGGATCACAAATCCTTTATGGGCGTGGCCCAGATTCTTTTAGATGAACTGGAACTATCCAATATGGTGATTGGATGGTTCAAACTCTTCCCCCCTTCCTCCCTAGTAGATCCAACCTTGGCCCCTCTGACCAGAAGAGCTTCCCAATCATCTCTGGAAAGTTCAACCGGACCTTCTTACTCTCGTTCATAGCAGCTGTAAAACTGTTGTCACAGCAACCAGCGTTACAAAAGGAAAAAAAAAAAAAAAAGAAAAAAATCCACAGGTCGCAAACCCTGGTAACACTGCATGCTTAATGTTGTGTCTTCTGAGCCGGTTTCTAGGGATACAGAGCGATCCTGTGTTCTCAGAGGAAGTTGCACACATTGTGCCCTAAGGAAGGCCCCTCAGGTGAAAGGACAGAGCTATGAAGAACTGAGAGGTTTGGAGTTCAGCCACACTGGAGTTGTGGTCCAATCTGAAGCCATGGATTTATCTCAAAGAATCAGTCAGTTTCATGCAACAAAAGCCCTTTTCAATGGCACCTTTATATTTTTATTGTTCCTTTTTCTTCATTTATCTGACCCCAAAGCCCCATTATGCCACAGAAATGGAGCTATACAGCCTCTGAGCCATGTTACAGGTCAAGGAGCAAAGAAGTCCTTAGAAGCATCAGGTGTAAAGCAAGACACCAAAGAAGTGGTCGGGAACAAAGCGTCAGCCCTCCCCTGGACGGAGTCCAGCAGGAAGAGTGGCCAACTCAGTAGCTCCAGCCGCATGTCATTCACTAATGCCAAGATGTGTTGGACTCTGAAAAACAAAGTTCTGTGGCTACACTGTACTGAATGAAATTAAAGAAACTTTTTTTGCATGGACACAGATTAGCTGATTATTTAAATTATTTTCTTGGGGCTGCAACTTGCAAAAAAAGAAAAATAAATAAAAATCAGCCATTTTCAACAATTTATATTATTTTTAAAAATAAATTTCACTAGTGCATGGTTTTAAAAAGGGGAGAGAATGCAACAGGGTGATACAAGACACACCATGTTTATTCTTTAAACTAATCATAGTCTGTGTTTTGGCAGACATTACAAATGAAAATTCTTTCTAGAAGATGCGTAAAATTCTCTTTATGTGACAAATAAGGATAATATATTCAATTTATTTCCATGTTAAATATACAGATCTTATGAAGTTCAATATGTGCAAATTTTTCACATCTTGCTCTTCTCTGTCTTACTTTTCCTCTTCTCCCTCTTTTAATCTTTTATTTTTGTTCTCCCAACCAGAGTGAACCTTATTCTAAAAAATTACAACTTTTTGATCTGATCCTCTCTTATAACCCATGTTTGATTCAGAGCTATAGATGCTTCTGAATTTATGAATTTCTCAAGGGAAAAATCTATTTAAGAGCTTTCTTTATTTCAAGCATGTTGAAAAGGATTTTGCAACATGACTTGGGAGTACATTAAAGTAAGTCAGCATGTATTTGACAAAGAAGATATTTGAACTTTTGCAATTTATTGTACAGTGCATGGTAATTTTTTTTCACCTTCAAAATTCAGTTTACAGGAAAATCCTAAAATCATGTGGCCATTGTAATGTCTAATAAATTTGTTTTTAGCACCAGCATTATTCATACAGGGGTTAAAGTATTATTTGTAGAAGGTCTTAGGTTTTGTTTGTTTTTTAATTAGTTAAAGCAGTTTCTTTAGCCAATTTCCATTTACTATGTGAATAGAAACACTGCTAAAAATTTGAAGCCCTGAAACGCAGGGCTGTTTATTAATTCATTTTTCTGTAGTAAAATTCAATTTTTCACAAATTATATTTCTAAAGAAATATAGTAAACATAAATTTGCAACAATTTTAAAGCTCCAATTTTTAGGTGACTCAAAGAAAGTCAATATGCCTATTAATAGTTCTTTGATGCCATCACCAAAAGTCTTCAGGCAAATTCTTTAAAGTCGAAACCCCTGCCTTTGGTTTTACAGAGAGTTATTACCATTGGGTGGTGCTGCAAGGTCAGATTTCTCTTAAGTTCCCCTATTTTGAGGAAAAGTCACTGGATAATGTATAAACCACCCATACTTTCTGGTTCTTATGTACATTTTGATAGTACATTCTTATAGATTGGTTTTAATTCTTGCAATAACTTTTGAAATCCACATACCTCCCATTTGTTGAAATGAAGGCCATGCACAAAAATTCTTTTCTTCCTCTTCTTTTTTTTTTTAATCCAGTGCTGACCATTACAAACTATCATGCTTGATATGGTGCAAAAGTTAAAATGAGTATCACTAAAAATGCCTTCTCATTATGTGGTGCAATATGAAATACACCGAGACTGTGTCTTGATATTTGGAGATCTATGATGGACCCAGGTAAAGTTGTTAAAAGAATGAATAAAACTTTATTGAAATAATTTAGACACCTGTGTACCAGCAACAATTGGTTTAATAGACCTATAGTGTCTATACTATCCCTTAGATTAAACGTTTACCATTTTCCTGATATTAAGATGCACTCACATAATCTTTTGTGCATATTCCTATAAAAATTATTTCTAATTTTAATAAGAAGGACATGACTGTATGGAATATTTGTACATACGTGTCATTATGCAGTATTTATTTAAAAGTTGGTGGTTTTGTTTTTGTTTTTAATTTCCACATGTCTGCACCTCAACTCGTGGTTTAGTCATGTAAATAGCACTCTGCCAGTGACCATTGCTGCCCTGTACATAGTATGTTTTAAAGTAAAGGGAATTCCAGTTGGGGAAAACAAAAAGGGCAGATTAGTCCTGTAACAAACACCAACTAATGTAAATCAAATTCATTCTGGTGATGGTATTTAACACTTTAAATAAAACATTTTCTTTACAGATGTTGTACAACCGTGCATTCTCTGACCCTCGTCTCTCCACACCTCCCCAAGCCTTCTGCAGCTCGGCCCCAAACCTGCCTCTCATTCAAGACAACAACATTACCTTCCCTCCTGTCCATGACCAAAGTGGGCCAGTTTTAGCAAATAGCTCTCAGAAGAGTATATCTTTTCTTCAAAATCCCAAAGGATCTTGGCTCACATCATTAAAAGTTGCTATTTTTTAGAAAGATTGTTATTGGATTGAGGAGCTTTCTGATTAAATGATTCAGCAACTTCTAGATTTGATGAGCAAACTGAGATTTCTGAGTCAGTCCTGCCAGACACTGATAGCAGAGTCACAAGGAACCATGCAGTTCCCTGGGTAAAGATGGCGGAGGTGGCCATTGTCTTTAAGCTTTTGAGTTTGTAAGAGTCAGTTCAGCTATGGGGCAGGTGCCTGGTTAGTTGAAAAGATAGGTGTGGTAACCTGAGAAAACAACCTGTCCAGAGACTGGCTTCTAGTTGTATGAGTGTAAATAAATAGGTGACAGAGTCTTCCCCACATCTTTTGAGGGTAGTTCCTCAAACTAGGAAAAAGGATCCCAGCAATTTCCATAGACTCCTCTTCAAGATCTGAACTTAAGAGGTAGTTTGAATCCACATTTAATTAGTAATTCAAATCTAAATTTAACCAGCTCTCCATTCTTGAAAACAATCATTTCTTCTATTTCCAAGGACTCAATTCTACTCCAGTCCCCCACTCATCCTATAATACTTTTCATTATTCAATATATATCCTCTATTGAAGTGAGCTACTTCTTTGCTTTTTGAAAACTCCTATAACAAAACTCCCCTTGCCTGTCTTATGCCCTTTCACTTTCTCAAGTGAAAATTCATGTTAGTCTGTTTTGCAACTCCCAGCTCAGCACAGCTCCTGACTATGCTTTAACAACATGGCTTCCCTGATGTCAACACCTTCCCTTTCCTGGGGACTCTAGTTGCCAAGGCTCTACAAGAAACATAATCGTCCCTCTCGTATAGGATAGAACACAGTTGCGTAAGAAATCACCAAAGGTATCTTCCTGTTTCAAGCTTAACCTTTAAAAGGCTTTGTGTGCTCATAAAAATCATGTGTTCTACATGTTTGTCTCAGTCACCTTATGATGCCCTCAGTGACCTGCCAGTATTCACAGACTGAATAAACAAGTTCCTACACCTGCCTTTGATTTGTGAAATGTTATTGAAAACTAGTATGAAAGAAAAATTTTAAAAACAACTGAACAAACAAAAAATCAGAACCACTCAAATTTTCCATGTGGCTGGACTCAGGTCACTTAAGCTTTCTGGCATTCATTTCCTTGCCTGGGAAATAAGAAGTTTGAGTGAGCTGTTCTTCCATCATTAAACCGACACTTTGACTAACACATAAGCCCCCTCAGCCAGAGACCGTGTCTATTTTTTTCTCCTATTTTGTATCCTCAGTGCCAAGAACAATGCTTAACACATAGATACTCAAACACATCTATCAAATGAAAGCTGCTTTAATCCCTCTCTTTTTTTGAGTCACTATTATTCCAGCCACAGTGGTGAACAAAATAAAGATAATCTTGCCTTCATGGGGCTCTTTTTCTACCAAAGAAAAACACTGGGAAAAACATTACAAAGGTCATAACTCCCCTAACATGAAGCCCCCCAGAATGTTACAGGAGCATGCAGCAAAGTGTTTTAATCCAGACTAGTCAGTCAGGGAAGTCTGATATCCTAAAAAAAAAAAAGAAAGAAAAGTAATTAAACAGAAGGAGAGCATACCGCAGGAGACAGGAGTGAGATGAAGAATATTCCAAGCATAGAGAATAGGAGGTAAGAATTTTGAGGGATTGGGATCATGATTCTACTACTTCTATTACTATATGGTGTCCAAAATAGTGATAAGCACATAAAAAATGTGTGTGAGTAAGAAGAATGAGCTCACAACAAGTGACTAGGATTCTGCATCCTGGGCAATCACTAAACCACTGAAGAGTTTTGTTGAGAAGCTAGTTTTGATTTAAACTTTTTTTGATGTGAGACCTGTTTGTAAATTAGATCAGTGATGAGGCCTAATCCTCTATGTAATTTTATTTGAAATGTTCAAATGTTACTCAGTCCTTAATCCCATTAAAATAGGTATCTGAACATAAGAGCCACAGCCCCCAGCTCAGCACCCAGCACCCCATCATTTAGTCTTTTGGCCTTGGGGCAGGGAACCCTAGTGTTTCATTTTTAAAAAAATTTTTTTAAGTTGTATATTGTCACAATGTCTTTATTTTTATGTGGTGCTGAGCATTGAACCCAGGGCCTCACGCATGTGAGGCAAGCGCTCTACCACTGAGCTACAACCCCAGCCCTCATCTGTTTCCTTTTTGATCCATCCATATCATTACCATGAGACTGGCCACTCTAACTAATCCCATTCCCCTGTCCCCCAACTGGTGGTGTAGTGGGCACAGATTCTTAATATTCTTAATCTGTCAATCTTCTTCGGTTTAATTTTGTTGTGCCTTGATATCAAAGCAGCAGTCCAACTCCAGTGACAGAACCTATTAAACATATTAAATAGAGGGAAAAAAGCATGTCAAGATTGCCCCCGTGACTGTGTTTCTTGATAACGTGGTCAAAGTTCATTTGCTATAAGAGGGAAAAAAATCAACAAAGCCAGATGGAGGCCAGAACTGAAGAGAAAACTCTACAGGTTTCATGTTCCTGGCTCCATTGTGACAGAAGAGCCTGTGTCCTTGTTCTCCCAAGAAAACCCATGCATTCTAGCCCAGTTACTTGGGGTTCCTGCTGCTTGAGGTTATGAGTCCTAATTAACACACTTGCCCATGAGTCTAATAAAATTGTGCAACCTTGCAGGGGTCATCAAGACCACTACCGAGAAGGTTGGCCATCCAACTTCTGCTTGGCAAGTGGATAGAAAAATCCCAGTCCATGATCTGTTATTCTTCCTCCTAAAACTTTGCCTTAATCTCCCTTCCAGTATTTATACTTCTTGGAACTATCACTACCATCTAAAAACACATAGCAAAGCTCTGATCCCTCTTCCACAAGAAAGTCCTTTAAACCTTTTAAGTTAGAGCTATCGTATTATCCCCAGCTCAGCAGAATATCATGTTGGCTGAAAGTACCTGTTCTAGATAAGAATGCTGAGGTCAAATAAAAGCTCCCTCACTTACTAGCTGTATAACCTTGAGTGAGCCATTGATCCTAAGTCTGTTTTCTCATTTAGACAGTAGGAAAGTGGGGCGAACAACGGCACCTGACTCATGAGGTATCCAGAGGATTGAAAGAAGTATGGGAGCTAAGGGACTTAGCGCAACACCAGACGTCCAAGCTCTCTGTAGGTATAGACATAGCAGTGTTGGCGTCACCATAATTATTTCTACAGGTACCACTACTTATTCTTCTCTTTTCCAGGCTCTTCTGATGCCTGTCACTCATAGAAACCTCATCATCTTGTTTGTCCTCTCCAGAACTAAGCAAATGACTTCAGATGGGCTCTGGCCCAAGAAGAGCACTGTGGACTGTCTGCTATTGACACAACCTATGATTCTCTTGCCTTTTCTTTCTTTTTAAAAATATTTATTTTTGTACTAGGGATTGAACCTAGGGACACTTTACCACTGAGCTACATCCCTAACTCTTTGCATTTTTTATTTTGAGACAGGGTCTCCCTAAGTTACTGAGGCTGGCCTGGAAACTTTGATGCTCTTGCCTCAGCCTCAGGGTTGCTGGGAATTCCAGGTGTGCACCACCATACCCAGAACCCTGGCCTTTTCCTGCAGCCACCTCACACAGTGCAATCAGAGTGCGCTGGTGGTCAAACCAGTCTCCGATTCTTCAAGGGAGCTGTTTCCTTATTCTGTCTTTGTGGAATTACATTTTTAATGTATTTAAAGAAGCACACATTCTTGCTAATTTTTTTCCTTGTAGATGTTGCCCAATATTCCAACCTGCTAGGATCATTATGGCTGTCCTAACCTTGACATTCCTTGGAATTACGTGATATTTTAAGACTAATCAAAAGTATTATCTTCACTGCCAGTCCTGCTTCTCCTGCAAATCTGCTAAAGGAGTTTCTTTATCTTTATCCACATCCCCAAAATGTTGAATAAAATAGGGCCAAGATAAAAAATCTTCTATCTCTCTACCTGCAAAATTAATTGATATCAATAATGTATCCTGTCATGAGATCTAAGTTAGTTTTATGACTGCCTTATAAGGTGTATATTTTTCATCTTTATCTTACAGATAAGAATACTGTAGTTAAAATAGTTTAAATAACGTGACCAAGGCCCCCCATCTGAGAAGGGACATATTCAGAGGCAAACCTAAGACTTCTGATGGTAAATTGGTTTATCCAATCATTTTTTAACCTCTTTACCTGACCATCAACTAACTCCACATCATCCATGGGGAATTCACTAGGGTCTTTCTCAAATAGTGTTCATATTTTCCTCATAGAGCAATCTCAGTGCTAGCAAAAAGTGGGGGTGTGGTTAGGGAGGGGAGGGAGGAATAGAGAGGTCGCTGATTATAGGTAAACCTACTTTTCGGAGTTACTGTTGGAATTTCAGGAGAACATGCGTAGGGGTTGACGTAAAACGGGCACCACCAATGATGGCAGCTCTTTTTCTTATCATGAGCTTCTGCTCTTGCTCTTTAGTACAGTGAGCTTTACTGTTTTTAATTGAAGCTCCCTGTCGTCTGGTTGCACACAAAAGAGATAAGAGAGAACTAGGAAATGCCTTAGCATTTTTCTCATTGTTACCTCTGGGCAGCAGCAGAAGGCCTCTGCCCCTTCCTCAGACCCAGAGGAACTAAAAGGGTCCCTTTCATCCTCTTCAGTGTTTTCTCCGCCTAGCTGACCTCTAGCCTTAGGCCTCCAGCAGCTCTTCTACAGACAGGTATGTGCCTGCTGCTCATCCATTTGTGGGCCAAGGCCCCTCCTCTTATCCTCTTAACCACTTTTTGAGATCTGAGTTTATCAGTGGTATCTCCGTAGGAGACTACTTTCAGCTTGGGCTGTATTTATATATGTGTTTTCTTCTTCTTCCCCTCTTCCTCCTCCTCCCCCTTCTCCTCCTCCTCTTTTTTCATTTATTTTTTTTTCCTGCTTTCTCTATCCTTCTCATTGGAATCACAGAATGATAATTTGATTTTCCCCCCTAGATTCTTCCATGCCTCCTTGGCCATGGCCATTCCTGTCACCGAGTCATTCTTAATCCCCCAAACTTTTGAGTGCATCCATCAAAACTCATATCTGATAATGACTAGTATCCATTTTCCTGACCGTCAGGACAGTAAAAAGAAATAGTGACTAACTCCTAAGTGTGCAAGTGACTAATTTCTACTTCACAGACTAGGTTTTATTGGGTTTTTTGTTTGTTTGTTTGTTTTTGGTTTTGGGCTGTTTTGTTTTATAAAGAAGTGCTATATTGATTTCTCCCTGGATGACCACATATTTGCTGTTCAGAGTTGACAATGTCCTTTATTTTCTGAGTCTCACTGCTCACATATGTAAAGTGGGATGGTAAAAGTACTCCCTGGGCTCCATGAGGACAGAATCCAATGATGTAACAAACCCAGGGTACCAATAAAATAAGAGTTCACAAGTGCCAACGGTTAAGAGCATGCTCAGTGGCTGTGAACTTCTTAAAGAACTTTGTGCTCTTTGCTGGTCTTTCTCATATAAGGCTCTAGTCCTCCTGAGGAGGCAGAGTC